AAGGAGCATTAGGATTCAAAGCTGCCAATCATGCATACAGCTGTTGTTTTACTAAATTATATGAAACTTGCAAGTATTTCTAATAAAAAATTCTAAAAGGCAGCTTATTTTTCCTTGTACTGTTTTCAGCTCTTTCACTTGAGTTACAGCATGTTGTGGGAGCCTGAGTAAGGCAACTGAGAAAAGAATCACACTTCCAAAATATCTCAGAGGTTTTTCTACGAACTCTGTCCACATGATCTGGCAGCATCTCAGATTTAATATACTTTTCATCTATCCCTAAAATTAGACAAGCACTGAAGTACTAAATTGCATTTTTCAGGTGTCTGAATTGGCCTATCACATCAGAAAAAGAAAGACAAATGCCCTACAGTATGAACTGCAGTTAAACGTTAAGGCACTGAAGTTTGTTAAACTTAATGACTCCGAGAACAATCATCATGTCTTTAACTTCAGGCCTAACAAATCCAACATATTGATCAGGCAATTGGCTGTTGTACACAGATGCTAACTTATTCTGGGCACGTTTTATGATGCTTAACTAAAAAAGGGCATTTCATCATAGAATTTGTATTTCCAAATAAATATTTGGCATTAGTAAGTATGGACTGACAAGCATTTTACTTAAAACCTTTCAAAGGTCAGGGAAAAGATATATGGGAATAAAAAAAAGTCTCCAAGATGTGTATCATGCACAAAAGACATGCTCTTCTTCAAAGGTATTTTTGCATGCATGATTTTTTTTTTATGTAGTTTTCTAGTATTTATTTTCTTATCTCTTTGATTTTTGTACACCACTTCTACTTGAGCAAAACTGTCAAGCTTGTATGCTTAAAATCAGGTTCCTAAATCCATAGAGCAGACGCCTATTTAATTGAAAATAATGGAATTCATTAATTTTCTAACCTGTAGGGGTACTCATATCTAACTTCAAATCAGTCAGACGAGCTATGTAAATCACAGACAGTAACAGTTGTTTCTACCTGCTTGTGGGGACAATAGCATATGTTGTCAAATCTGATTTAATTAAAAAGTCTGTGCAATCAAAACCAGCATGATGCATGACACTTTTGTTCAGGATTTTTTTTGCTAAGAAATGAGGATTGTGATTGACCATGTTTGTAAATTATTTTAGTAAAGAAAACAAACTGCTCCAGATTTTCCTTAGAAATGTTTCCTTCTTGGCAATTTTTAAACTAACTTTTTTTCCAAATGGATAATTTGATTTTTCTTAACTTGAAACTTTTTATGTAGAAATTTACTTATTAAAATATACAGTTTCTCCAAATCAAAACTTTCTTTTCAGTCAAACCCATCTTTCTCCTGTGTTTTTTTAATGAAAGTTTTTAAAATGTTTATATTGTTTGACTCAAAGTTCCCTCTCTGGCACATCTCTATGGCTGAAAGCAATTTACAGAATATTCTGCCAGAAACTGAAACCAGCCAACCATATTTGCCAGAATCAACGTCTAAGCAGCTTTGCTATTTGCCAAAAAGAGGGGTAGACTGTCCTTAATGGTTGCTGGAGATGTAAATGAAACATAATGAGAAATAAACGGACCACAAATGCACCCAATTTCCCAACTCTGCGAAAAAGGAGAGGGCAGTAGGCAGGCTACGAGAGGAAATTTTCTAGGACTTTACTCCAGCAAGACTGACCCAGCCAGAAGATAACAGGCACTGGAGCGCACTAAAAGTTCCTGTTCTTGTTTATGGGAAGACAGCTCCAGAAACTGCAACCTAAGTTATTCCTGTCAGAAAGCCACAAACTATATAAAGGGGTAAGGAACCATCTCACTGCTGAGCACAAAACAGACTTTCAAACACATTTGGTGGGCCTCATGTTAACATACAGCTGAGCGCCACTCAATAGTAACGTGAAAAACATCAGGCTGCCATGGGTTGCCAAAACATGATCTGATATTGTGCATTCAGCCCTGAGGCTGTAGATTCACTTTCTTAACTAAATAAAACATGGGACATCTGTTTCTGACAACAGCGGTAAAAAAGTCATTCCACTGATCTTTGCATTTGAGAGGAAAAAAAGATCTACAAGACTAAATATAATGCAAATGTTACTACCTTAAGAAGTCCTTAATATGAGAAATAGACACATCCTATTCCTGAGGCAATGAATCAAGTTAAGTATCAATTTTGATCATAACTCCCCCAGAGAAAGTCCAAGGTGTTGGACTGGCTTTAGGAAAGAAAGAATTTAGACAAGTCACATTTCCAGTTTATCCTGTCACAGAATCACAGAGTGTTGAGGTTGGAAGGGACCTCTGAAGCTCATCTTGTCCAACCCCCTGCTCAAGCAGGGCCACCTAGAGCAGGCTGCCCAGGACCGTGTCCAGATGGCTTTTGAATATCTCCAAGGATGGAGTATCCACAACCTCCTTGGGCAACCTGTTCCCATGCTCAGTCACCCTCACAGCGAAAAAGTGTTTCCTGATGTTCAGACGGAGCCTCCTTTGTTTCTGTTTGTGCCCATCGCCTCTGGTTCTGTCACTGGGCACTACCGAAAAGAGCCTGGCTCTGTCCTACTTGCACCCTTCCTTCAGGTATTTATACACATTGATAAGATCCCCCTGAGACTTCTCTTCTCCAGCTCTCAGCCTTTCCTCACAGGAGAGGTGCCACAGTCCCGTCATCACCTTCGTGGCCCTTTGCTGGACTCTCTCCAGTATGTCCATGTCTGTCTTGCACTGGGGAGCCCAGAACTGGACACAGTACTCCAGGTGCGACCTGCGATGATGACATTCCTGTTCATCCCATGACAATGTTACAGTAATGTCCCCTGGTTTGTGAAAATCACTTTTTTTAACTCCATGTTGAAGGACGTATTTTTATGTATGTATTCCATTTCCGCTTTGCTTAGGAAGGGCATTAATTAGAAGTAAAAAGATGAAGGGGAAATGGATTCTCTTTCATGTGTTACACCAAGAATGACTGATTTTAAAAGCATCTTTTTATAAAGTGATTGATGCACGGCCATGTTCCAACAAAGGTAATTTCCCCAATACTTATCAACATAATCTGTATAATTATTAGAGACAAATGTAAAAATGTAGACCAGTTCAGTTTTATAAATAAAACAAAGATGTGAACCCATTATGTTTTCAAGTTGTCTTTTGCCTCCAGAAAACAGCTGTAAATGAAGCGACTATGAGACTGGAGTATTCCAATGCAACTATTTTGGGACCTGAGGATGAACTCCTTGGGGTTTTCTTCTCTTCATGGAAAACCAGGTATCATGAAATTTACAGGAAAACTAAAACCAAACATTGCCTTGAGCAACAGAGAACAGATTTAAACAAACTTTTTCCTCTTGGAGCTGCTACAAATTCCTTTTCCCTCTAATAAAAGTCAGTCAAAAACTGAATGTAAGAAAATAAGGTTTTGGTAGCCTAAAACCTTTTCTAGCTGTTTAATCATAAAATGCTACAATATAAAGTATAAATCACAGTTCAAAGAATTCTTTTGAAAATTTATGCTCTGCTTATTTTATCACGATTACCAATCTACTGGAAAGTATTGTAAGGACTACAAATCTGTTCCAATGAATACATCTTTCTCCAAAATCGTTGAAAAAAACAGTAATAAAATACCACAAATTTGGGAAATTATTTACCTGAAATTCATGTTAATTGTTAATGGGTTCTTATTGAGTACGAATATTATAATGGAAAATTCTTCTATGTCTCCAATTAGAGAACTAAGGAGGAATTATTCTTAAACTCTACTAGTGCAAAAAACCCAAGTTCTGGCCTGGACAATAGTTGTAAACAAAAGCTGGATTTAGATCTTGTTAAACCACATAAAAAGAAAAGTTCAATATTGGTATATTTATTTTTCTTCAACTCATGAGGACAAGCAGAGAGATATTAAGTTGTTCTTTTCTCTTTAAATTCAATTCAATATGTCTTAAATGGATATAAACCAAAATCATAGCTTCTTGTTGACTAACCACAAAACACAGCTTTTCTTTAGGCAACATTAAAGCATGCAGAACAAGAATTAAACCCTCTCTTTCAGTGAACAAAAACTGAACAAAGTTGTGCAAAGTTGTGCATTTCATTACAACATTTTAAATATAAAATTTAAAACATGATGTCAATTAATATTCTCCTGTTTAAATAGAAAAATGCTGAGATGTTCAGATTAATCTTCTGCACACTATTTACCTCTGAACACCTGAAGAATGCTGCAATATAGAAATACTGCTATTACAATTCCTATTTATTGAAATCAATAGGAAGTTATATGAGCATACATTTGTGAAAATGGAATGGAGAAAACCCCTATGCCTTCCCCTTAGAAAAAATGCAACTTTTTCCATCTATTACGTAGCTGGTTACTATAATCAGCAGAAGACAATGGGAAATGTGTGTGTAAAATAAAGAAGAAGCCTCCTGCTCCATGGCATATGAGGGTTTACCAAAGTAGTGCTCCTAAAATATCTTTGATGGGACGAGAATTTCTTTGGAACATACCCATGATAAGAGCAAATTTTCTTGGATGAAAACAATCTGTTTAAATAATAGTTTCTCGTGACCAAATGGAAGGTCAGGGCCGTGCAAGAAATAGAACTGTGACTGAAGACCACAGATGCTACAGACGCTGGAAACCTCTGATGTATTAAGGAATTTCAGGGACAACAGATGGACATGTTTGGATCTGCTGAGCATTCGTGCTTCCCACCGGACTGTTTATTAACTTCAGGACTACACCAGAAGTCTAACAAAGCAGGACTTCTCTCCTCTTTCTCAGAGGCAACAGGCGCTTTCACAGTTTCATTTCAGGTAGGATTATGGGATGGAAGCCATAATGGAGATGTTACTCAACAGAAACAGTTGAAATAGCTTATTTCTGCTTTTGCCATTAATGTGTGCTCAGGGAAACATTTCCAAGTGCAAGTGCTTAATGAATGGGAGAAATGGTTGCCTCTAACAAGTAATGCAGCGTGACATTAAAATATCTTAAAAAGTTAAAGAACTCACCGATTCTTTTCTGCTCATAGTTTTGCTTTGGGAACGGGAGCGGGAGATTGTACTGAAAAAGGAATCCTTTTTTGATGCAGACAATGGTGGAGATCCTGTAAATTCACGTCCTCCAGACAAGCTCTCTATGCTTGGAGATGAACTGATGTTTTTTGAACTTTGGCCTGTAAAGCAAGTATAAAGTAACAAAATAATTAATCAACAGGCACTTTGTTTTCCCTGTAAATACCTCCTTGTCTTAATTGACATTCACTGAGATTCACAGATAGCTCAACACAGAATGAAACGTTGAAGTGTGTCAGCATGCACTGAGAGATTGAAGGACTATTCTGACATACATGGAACTGAAGTTTTGTATGAGAGAAAAATACAAAATCTTAGTGTATATATAGATATATACACAAACACACACTATCTATCTAGTGTGTGTATATATATGCTGAACAATATATATCTATCTCTCTATACGAATACCATCTCAGTATATATACCCTATTATATCCACAGACTGAGGGCCTTCTCTTCCCTGTGTGGCATAATGAGCAAAAGTACCATCTCATACTAATAAAAAAAAATCTGATGTCATCAACACTGCAAAGGAAATCCTTTTTCTTTCCACAAATAAACTATAAAACTTGGCAAAGAAAGCTAAGAACAAGAACGTCAGATTCCAAGAATGGGTTGGACATTGAATATCTAGATGACAATATCTAGACTTACAACAGGAAAAAGTAAGTTAAGTTCAGAAAAGAATGTAAATTCTCATGCTTCAAATTTTAAGGCCATCTCCACCTAACGGACATTCTGATGAAGTCTACTCAATAGACTTATTGTCATTTCATGCAGCTTTTCAAAAGAATCTAGTGTTGTCCACTGTCATAGCGAAGACATCTGGGTAGATGCCTGGGCTGTTTCACCATGACACTGTATGCAGTCAGGCAGTCTTTGATAAGGATCATTTCTTCCAGTTGAGGCCCACAAAGTGTTTTGAAGTACTTAACTTAAAATTCTATTTCCATTAGCTCCAGAAGAAAAAAACCAATATGACAGTTTTCATTCACTTTCATTAAGAAAATGTTGCATTAGGACAGATGGTAGTTTTAAAAAACCTTTCTGTTATGTGTATGAGGAAGTCAATCCAGAGTGACCCAATGCAATTCTAGAATTTTCCATTCTGAAAAAAAGTAAAATAGCAGGTAAAACTAAAGCTCTAGAATTCTTCCCTTTTCTTGTTTCGGCAGCTATTCTGATGAGGCTGTTCATGTTCTCCCTTTTTCCATTCCTTTGTTTTTGGTGTGCTTTTCATGCTACCATCTATAGCATCAGGAATGATCCTCTGAAACCACATCATTCAGATGTCACAGGTGCAGCTTCATCTCCTTTGCAAGGCTGTGATCGAATTTGAAACCACCTCCCTCGCAGATGCCAGTGGTTCATCCTTCTTTGCTCTGAGCTGCTCCCACTTTCTATGCCAGTTTTACTCCCAGATGTGCCACACATTATTGCACAGACCTTACAATTTATTTAGTGTTTTGTCATTGTGGATGCACTACCCATTCTGAAAATACAAAACTAACTCCTTTTCCGGAAGGGGACAGTCTCCCCTTCATCATGCATTGCGGTCTTCCCCCATGATACAACTTTCTAGAAAATGAAAGAAAACTAAAAGACAAAGAAATGAAAGAAAATAGAGGCAGAAAAGGCTGCAGAAAACACAGAAAGAAATTCAGATTTAGATACAAAAGGAGACCAGCTCTGTTGCGATCAAACATTTTAAACAAAAGGAAGTAACTAGCAAAACCTACTCATACAGAAACATCTTAACTTAATTCAGTCATTTAAGATCTAGAGGGGTAACTGTCCTCAAAGTGGTGTGGAAGTCAGCGGTGCCGTGCTTGGCCACCTGCCGGGTGGAGACAAAGCCCGAGCCAAGTTCTCCGCGGTGTTTGAGCTACGCAGCATATATTGCACAGCTACAACCACATGAAACCAGCACATTTTCTTAAGGGAATAAATACAGATCTGTTTAAAATGTCCTCTTAGCAAGAAGACTGTTAAATGCAAAGAGATTGAACTAGCAAAGAATAAAACATCATGTGACAAAACAGACCAAAAAGGACAAAACCCCGGAAAAGGATCTGCGTTTAATATTCTCAACGTTTTCTGGAAGATAATTGGCGTATAAACTGCTTCCCACCTTCTCCTTCATTCTCTCTTGCCTTATTTTGCTCTTCTTTCCCATGACCCTCCTACATTCTATGTCCTGCCTCTCATACTCCTGTGGACCTTCCTCTGTCTGCCTCCTCCTCTTCTTCAGACCCCTCCACATTGCCTTTTCTGCTTCTGCGACTTCCTTGTTCCAACTTTTTCCTTTACATATTCTTCCCTTCCCACCAACTTCATTCAACTGCATTTTTCTGTTCCTTCCCAGCCCTCCTCTAGTCACTTATCACCTACCACTTAGTCTGAACAGCTTCCTTAAAGCGCAGGAGATGGAGGCTGTAAGATCTCACTTAACTCACATTTTAAAGAGAAATGGGATACACATTAATTAGGTGAACATGAATCTCCAATTCTGTAAATAATTCTAGAAATGGAAAAGGAGAAAACACTGCATGGCAAACAGCAAAAATAATTCAGTTACAAGGAAGTTTTTATAAGATTTCTAATTTTAGGATAAAATCATGTCACTTGGCAACACCATTATCCTTACAGTTGCCTTTATGTAAGAAGGAGACTTTTTATGCATTTCACGTGGCAATTCACAATGGAAATGTGGCTTTACAATAGGTAAAACTTAAAAATAGTTTTGGAACAGAAGAAATTACCTATTTTAGCAAATAAAGCATTTATAAAAGAAATCCACACAGCTAAGGCAAAGCAGCCAATATAAATGCTAAACATAAAAAAATCTATTTGGTAGACAGAGTAAAGTACAATGAAAAAATATTTTATTATGTAAATCAGACTAAATGGGCTCTCTTTCCCATCCTAGTAATAAGAAGGTATCTTCCACATAGGATCAAGATTAAAAAAAACAAACAAAAAAAAGTTAAACAAGGAGCAATGTATATTTTTCACATACTCCTCCACTGCATGACCTGCGCTTAACCTACTTCACTTGCAAATAAGCAGCTTATGTGGTAAAATTTCATAGATAACATTGAGAGAGGGACACTTTAAATATATTTGAGGAACCCATGCACATGAAATAATACAGCTTGGTAAAATGATGGAAAAATTATTTGTAAGGATTTTTTTTTTCTATATTCTGTCTTTCAGGTCTAAGGAAAAAAAAGTCCAAAATATAATAGGAAATTGAAAAGACAGAGAACTATCCTTACGGCCACCACTTTGCTTACTGAAGAGCTACACTTCAAAAGATAGATCACAGTTTAGAGGAATGGAATATGCAACTACTTGCATAACCAAACAAGAGAAGAAATATGTATAGCTGGGATTTTGTGGACAGAACAATACAACTGTCCTAAAAGGGCATTTGCTCAAATAGCACCAAGAGCTTTGACTAATCTGGTTCTTATGGACTGTAAAATATAATGAAGATGGAAAATAAAAGCAATACAAGACGTAATGAAACTAAGATAGAGATGCAGTAAAACAGAAGTGATAAAAATACTATTTCTATACGTTTTATACCCAGGTAAGAAGAAAGCTTGGGATGCACCTGATCATTCTGCTTGAATAAGCATATCTGAGAAAATTATCATCAGGAAACACTAAATTTTTACTCTGACTCCAACTCTGTGAACAGCACTGTGACATGGATTATTTGGGGATGTGATTAAGAATTAAGCAAGACAGAAAGAATAGCCCTTATGAATAATTACAGTGTGTTGCAAGTCAAAAAGCAGAGTTCTTGGATTGTAACAGGCTTCTCCAATTTCCAGAGGAGTCATCATTTTTGCACTGGTAAATAAGAAAGCTGAAAGACAAGCCGCACCAATCATGCATGTTTTCCCCAATGTAACAAAAAAGCCACCTATCATTTTCCCAACACAGAAGTTTAGTGGAGCTGCTGCAAGAACAGTTAACTGAAGTCACCATGATGCTTTTGAAGTCTTTCAGATGTATTATGCGTGTACCGATTTCTGAGGCATTAACAACCCTCACGTAACTTTGGAAATAACACTGTAGCGGCAATGCAGAGGTTTCAGGCTCTCGGGAGGATTACACAAAATGCCATTTGTATCTTCTCTGTTGTGTGTCTCACTGATTCCGCAATTTTCTTAATAAGCAGTGTTGCACGTTCTCCTCACTCAATAGCTCAACAAGAAGGTCATTCGAGAGAGTTTCTAATTCCTCGGGAAAAAAAGCTAAAAAGCCAAACAAACCAGAACTCTTAGCCTCCAGCTACAATCCAAGTGCATAAAGTGATGTAATAAACTACAGTTAATAACTAACCAAACTCATCTCCTTCTTCTTTAGCAGCTTAATCGGCAACCTGAGAACATCACTGAATCAAAACTTTCATTTTCCTCTGCTCATTCTATCAATCTCAGATAACTACATTATGCCTTCCTAAAAGAAGATTAGAAAAATCTAATCTCTGACTATCTAAGCGTATACCAGAGAGTCCTAAAGCCTATATGAAACAGGCTGAAGAAACCACAAGCATGGAAATCAAATAAACGCTTATGAGGCACACAGAGCAAAGAGCTAAGGATCCCTGACATAAGCAGTAGTCAGAACACATTACTGCATAGGATGTCTCAAAAATATGTATGTGCACACTAAAATCCATAAATAGTTCACAGTAATGATGCACAGGATTTCGTGCACTAAAAATACATCCCATTCTGAGGCAAAAAGGAGCAGCGTTACCTCCGTGTGCTGGCTTCTAACTGGCTCACTCCTTGCCTGTTGTTGGTGATACTGGGGCTGAGCCCAGGGTTGAAAATGCTCTGTCTCAAAATCATTTGGAAAAATACATGGATGTGGAAGTGGGAAAAGGGACTGAACTGTTGGTACTGCTGGCAGGGCAGAGGGTGGAGACATGAAATGTTTTGAAAAGAAGAAGGAAAGTTTAAATGTAATGTGATCTATAACAGGGATTTATAAGAAAGTAAAAGATGATGACGAGAGGAGCAGAGCAGACTTATGATGAAAGAAAAGCAAGCTGCAGGTCTTACTAAGTTTGAGTTAAGTTATAGGGGAGATAATCATGAACTTTGGAGGCCTCTACTAAAATATAGGAAAAGTCAGAGAAGACGTGCACAAAAGGCATGCAAAAATGATGGCTCACTCCTACAGAGGAAAAGAATAGCTTTCATAGTTATAAGGAGAGCAAGGACAAAGATACCAAGAAGAACAGAAGTAAGGCGCGATCTATAATTCAAAACCACTCAGCTCTGCTCATCTATTACTCTGTACTTGCCATAGTCAGAACGTAGAGTATTAAAATTTGCAAAAAGAATGATACGAGTTTTATAAAACTTTTAACTTCAGATAAATTAGTTTCCCTTTTTCTCCTACACTGAAATTGGAACAAAGACTTCCAGCACTTTTAAAATTTATTCAGACCACCTCACCACACAAATCCATACGCTTATTATTCAGGGTGAGGCAGGTAAGCTCCTCTTTAGTCAAGAGCATTGAAGTAGACGTTCAGCTCAGAATACCTGCCTCCAATATAGCAACAGGGAAGTAACGCAACTAAAAGAGACATCGATGGTCGAATCGCCCCACGTGACAAAGCGTGACATGGACCACAAAGTACAAGGCAAATACACATTTTTAACGAAGACGGATGCTGGCGTACGGCGAATGTAACTGCAGGGGCACACACAGCACAGTCAGGGCGCGATGGAGCGGAGCTGCTTTTGTCTCTCTACACAACAGTGCCACTCGGTGGATGGACAACGGCAGTGGATGGAGACGCCACGCACGGCAAAACCCGCGGGGGTGGCTGGGCAGCCGGAGGGTAACGCTGCAGGCAGAGAAAGCCCCCCCCTGTCCCCGCAGCAGCCGTACCTGGGAGGGCAGGGGGATGCTGCCCGGGGCCCGGCAGCGCAGCATCGCTGCCTGCGCCTGCCTCGCCTGGTAAACAAACAACAGCGTTAGAAGGTTTCCCCAGCAAATGCAATTCACTGAAGCGAAGAGCTGCAACTTTGGGGTTTTGAGCTGGAAGACCCTGCTTTGAACACAAACGATATGGTAAGAGAGCGGCGTAAGAGCAGGCAAAAACAAATGGGGAGTTTTAACAATCAGTGCGTTATATGCCCCACTCAGACACGTGCAAAAAAGCAGTGCTTTTAAGAGACTGATTTATATCAAAATCTAAACTAAAACAAACGATCAAACCCATTTTGTTTCTGGTACTTTACACTGACAGTGTCGTTCTGCTAGCTTGGGAGCATCGTATTCTTACTGTCAATAAATTTTCGTAATTACCTAAGAATATGTATATCTATATGTTTTTTAAAAAGGAAAAAAAAGTGTTTGTTAATCAGTGTTTTATTCCTTTAATTTTTATTCAGTTCTGCTATCAGTAAGGACAACTTCTTTTTCCTTCTGAAAAAGCATACTCATTTTCTAGACACAGTTCATAAATAATTCTAAATATGGAGATCATTTCTTTAGGGCATATTCAGTGACTGTGGAAATTCTGTTCGTGTTACAACAAATACCGCAGAAGTATCAACTCATAAAAACAAACAGTAGTCTAGAAACTCTTTAAATAGCTGATCACAGTTTTGGTAGAACTTCATCTTCAAACTGGTCCCCTAACGTGTCCTTGTGACAAAGCGGCATTCAAATCAAAAGCCTTTTGGGTTTCAGCATGAAAGGACCTAGAAGGAAAACTGTATCTGGCACTATCAGGGAAGAAGTGAATGAGAACCGCTTTTTTTCTGGCAACACACTGCCGTTTGGTAATCAAAGAGTATCCAGTTTCTGAATGCTCAAGAATCCAGTGGAACACAAAGGGCAACAATTCTGCTTTTTTCCGTATTTTTTCATTATCGATTTTTATCTTTCAAGACAACGAACTCAACTGACAATCCAATGAACTCAAGATTTGAATTCAACCTTTGTGCCAATGAATTCCTTCATTGTGTAGAATCAAGAGAATATTTTAATCCCTTTTCTATTAGTAGGCTACCTTGCATAAGTAATCAGTAATGATACCCAATCTTCTTCTGTGCTGAGGACAGGCTGAATGGGATTAATATATTATTAGGAGGAACTGAATTTCCAATTAGGTGTCTGGATACTTCGCTCAAATGTGATTTGTAATGTTGAAAACTCACCGGGAATCACAGGCTTGCAATCATGGTTTTTTTTTTAATATTAGTCCGCTCTTTTTCCATTTACATTATCTAAATTATATGCATTTTTTCTTGAAGAAATTCAGCAAGTACCAAAACTTCAGAGTGAGAAATAATTACTATCGATTATGTAAACCAACCATGTCTCATCTAGAGTACAGCACAAGCTACCCCTGGAGGTGGCAGCATGAATGACACCTGTCACTGCTGCTGGTTTGTGAGTGGTAACTCTGTCTGAACAGAGGTGTTAAAGCTGGGATAGGATTATTTTGCCAGTCCTGCAAGGTATTTTGTTACCAAGGACTTCTTCACACTTAATAAAGAAGTAGATCAGGCAATTAATTTAATCTCTTCAAACTTGTAGCCCTCTACATATTAATTTAAATTATCAGCACTGCTTGAGCATTCAAAACCTGAAAGGACTAATACAATATGAGAAGAATGGATAACTTCTTTCATGACTTGATGCCTGTCAGATTTACAGCACTTCAGTCTGTTATACTGTCCAACTGAGCATCTGTGAGTGTTAGATCAACTGGAAGTGCAAATGTCTATCAATTTAAATCCTAAATTGTGCCTCGTCCAACCAAGCTCCAGGAGGTTGAAGAGAGCTGAAAACACAGTGAAGAACATAAGACAATTAGTGACAGCTGGTCAGTAACTTAGGAGCCTTATAGTTACAAACCATGCCAAATAGCTTTTAGATACTCAAAAGCTAGAGCAGAATCCAGAGTTTGAAAAAAGCCAGTGCAGAAGGTAAAAAGGCATGTAAAAAGTTCAGCACAAACAGGACTGGAATGAGAGCTTCTCAGGGTGTGGATATATTCTAAATCCTAAATCTTAATGCCTGGGATAGAAGTACTCGCAACTTCTCAGAGCTACGGGTAGTGCCCTCATTCACCAGAGACGCTGTACAGCACTTTCTTGAGGTGGTGGTACTGTCCTTCTGCACAGAACTGAAAAGACTTATTTTCACTTTTAAGGCATGATGGAGATGGTGCTGAGTTGTTTACAAAGGTATCTGCATCATGCTCCAAAAGGGTCTTTTTAGCCTGTCTCCGCCACAGTGTCATTGCAAATAGGGTTTGGTTTTTTTGCTAAGCTATTCCTACATTTAAACTTACTTCAGAGAGAATTCACTGGGCAGCTTCTGAGAGACTTTATATTTCCTTTGCCATTTTGGGTTTCTCTTTAAAAATATCAATTATGGCACTTGCAAACATAGTTAGCTGCCGTCATTTAAAACTTCTATCCAACTACAGGCAATATCCTGATAACTGTACAGGTCTGGAATAACAAGCATGGCACTAATATGTAAAACAAAACTCACTGTCATCTCAACTGATTAAAAAAAAGTATATTTACATTTTGTTGTCTTTAAATTACTTCTGCAAGTGTTGTACCAAATATGGATAGACAGAATAGGGTGAGAGGAAGCTGCAGGTACCGAAGCGTTGCAGTATGTTTTATTTCCTCTTACCATGAAAATGCTCTGTGCCTTACATCATAAATTTGCATAATTTCTTGATAACTTTACCAAATCTCCATATTCCTGTTGATACAGAAATATGTGCACAGCTTGTACATGACAATGACCAAACATAACTACAATTTTTCATTCTGATTCTTGTATGGAAAGTGTAAGCTGCATTTCTGCATGATGCAAGAAATGGCACATACAAGTGTAAAGAGGGTTGTCCTTGACCAGCTAGATAAAGATTAAGCTACAGTCGATTCCACCTATAGAAGTTGCTTCTACTTGTACACTTTTTTTATATTAAGCAGGGAAAATGGCATATACAAGTGTAAAGAGGGTTGTCCTTGACCAGCTAGATAAAGATTAAGCTACAGTCGATTCCACCTATAGAAGTTGCTTCAAATTGTACACTTTTTTTATATTAAGCAGGGAATGAAAATAACCACCTGAGGACCACTTTTCAATCCAAAAGGTAAAAAAAGAATAATGTGATAAGGGAACTATGGAAAACTTTTAAAAAAGCAAACAAAAGAGCTTCTCCAAAATTGTGGAAATAATTTCGTTCCACGCCTAATTTTACTTCCATTGTTATGAACAGGATTTGCATCAAGGATTCACTGCATTTCAGTTTCACGTTTGCACTGTAAAACGCTTGCTGGAGCAATTTCTGAGATTGTTCTACGATTCTAAGAGAAGCTGCGTATCTGGATTTTGCCAAGCAGCTGCAGTGGCCCTTACAGAAGTGCTTGTATCTCTGCTTCAAGAGAACAGTTGTACCTTTCAGTTCTGCTCCCTCAGTGTCTGGTGGGTATGCCATGCACCATGAAAGGACTAACTTTGGACCATATGCGTGCCACAGGAAAGAGAAAGAACAACTTCAGCTACAAAGTGTTATTTCCCTTCTCTTACACTTTCAAATCTGGTGAAAAATATGATGCAATCCTACGTAATGGTTCAGGGCAACCAGCACTAGCCCTCAAACTTACAACCATTACTTAGGATGAGTTGCTAAAAGCAGCAGATACTGCATCATTCTACACACTCCTTGCAAAGAGCATACTGCCATAGGCTGTCTGAAGACGAAAAGCAGTAACGCACCTTGAGCCTGGCAGAGTATAGGAAACAACTGCTGAAGCTGAGCTTGTGACTTTGTTGTTTTAAAAAACTGTCCTCAAGAAATATAAAAAAAAGGCTAAGAAAAAGAAGTAGTATCTACTAAACAGAGAAAGTGCAGAGGGCCATCACAAATTATTAAAAGGCAAATACATGTTATTGTTCAAATAACTTCTCAAATAATCTCCACACATTCTAAAGGGAATAAGATTTTGTTTATTAAGAATTACTCTGTAATTGATCTAACTTCCTTCACTCGTATTTAGCTAATGTTGTTATGCATGGGATTTGTGCCAATAACCTGAAAAACCCTATATGAAATTAGTCTTACAGTTCAAAATATGTTGCATTTAAAAGACTGAAAAGTTGGCTAATGTTTATGGTAATGATCTAGTTTGTTGGTATGTCTGATGTAATTTCTGGTTAATATTTTTTTAAAGCTTCAGAACTTCCTATAGTATTTGTACATTCTTGAGATAACATTTAATTCTGTATTACATTGCACACGTGCTGTTGTACTTTAGCATAGACGTCCTGCTTAACAAAATTCTGCTTTTTCTGTTTCCTCCAAATATGTACCCATCGATATAAAAATCAATAAAAGGACTTTCTTCAGTCCTTAAGACGTACGACAAAGCTTCCCTCTGTCGCGGTACTGCCACACGCTTCCCCTTTACCTTTGCCCAGCTGAACTGGCATGCTTTCGGACTTCATCATCCTCTGCTGCTGTGCCTGGTGGTGGTGGTGGTGCTGGTGGTGGTGGTGCTGCTGCTGGGGGGTTTCCACTGCGCTTCTGATGGGCACTGCAGGGGGAGGAAAGCTGCTCCCGCCGGCAGGAGCACCCCCAGCCCCTCCTGAAGCCATAGCCGGAGCGATGAGCTTTCGGCCAAAATTCAGTAAGCTGTTGGAGACTTTGTTAATGTTCAGTGGGGCAGCCTTAGCACTGGCGCTGGAGAAAAAGAAGAGGAGAAATCATCACATACTTGCCAACGGTTTGGACAGACAACCATGACAACGCTTTGCATGCATTGCTCTCCAAAAATGGGGGAAAAAACCTCAAGATCTGAGCATTACAAAGCCGGTGTTTTACCACAGTTGCACTGGAATATACACAGGAACCACAGGGACTGCATGTGGTGCGAGTTTTTCTCAACCGGTAGTGGACAAATTTTTTTGGCCCTTTCTTCCTGAAAAATGCAGACTAATCCCAAACAAAGCAAGTTTGTCCCAATTTTCTTAATTTGCCTTTTTAAATGAAAAGAATGAAAACATGACAAAAAGCAATCCAGACTCTAAAGCATTGAAAACTTAATAAAACTGACTTTTTGCACTTCTTATTCAAAGGCTGCTTTAATATTTACTTCTGCTACATTAAATTCTCTTAAATGTTTAAAATAACTCAAACCCAAACATTTCTTTCAACAAGCAAAACTACCACTAGACTGTATTTTTAGGTTGGCAGAGATAGATGACGCTTGCTTTTACTTCACCTTCTGCCCAGCCCAGCCATTTCAAGCCAAGCGCTTTTTAACGGGAATCCTGATTTCAAAAGTGATTTTGGCTGAAGAATGGCTTCAGGATATAACACATATACTGGATCATGATCCTTATCATTGTTACTTTTTATTTTTAACTACAGTGGCTAATTAATTCACTTCAGTTACATGCAACATTAATAACGAGGAAATTGTCGAACCATTTAATCTGTCTAAAATAAAGAGGCAAGGAAGCTTCTAATTCCCAGTAGAAGTGTTCACATAACCCAGGGATCAGCAAACCCATTCCTATTTGTTCATGCAGTATTTTCCTGTTTTACATAATTAATGCTTGAAATACCCTTCATAGAAATATATCACAACCACAGAGACCTTTCTGCTCCTGAGGTTTTATTTTACTGATCTACACTTTAGTGATATAAATAGCTGTATTTAAAAAATTTGAAGAAATACATGTAATTAAAAACAATACAATCATTGTACTGGGGAAAAAATAGTTTTGGAATGCTTTGGGGAAGTTTAACTAAAAATAAATTACAAATGAATTAATATGGGTGACTTGTAACTTACGCAAGCACCTAGAAAAGTAATTTTGATTTTGCTTTTCATGCATTTGCCTATTCGTCTCCAGATATGTTTTTTTTAGAATACACAATATAAATGCGCGCACACATATAGAACATAAGCAGAAAATAACAACAGCTGAGTTGTTTAGACTCAGAATAGATCCAGTTAAAATGAGAGAAAGCAGAAGAAAGTATGTGAGCCTGCACACTCACAAGATATAGCCTCAAGCTGTATGGGGCCCTTCTGCCATATACTGGCGGTGAAGAAAGACAGCACGCAGGAGTTTTTAGGAGGAACAACAGCGCAGAGACTGGGACACGGTGCTGCTTCCCAATTTATGGAAGCTGGAAAGGAATGATTGCTGAATAACGATTAAAGGATGTTTCGGTGTCTTTCCCTTTTATTGATTGCTGCCGATATTACAAAAAGTCTTTCTGTAGCCACCTGAGAATGACTGACAAAGTCACTAGAAAGAGAGCATCTTCAGAACTATAAAATACTCTTGCAGGAGTCCCAAATGGTTTCAAATGCAAACTGAATAGGTCCTAATGATTTTAAAGAAAAGGACATGGTAAAATATTTATTACTATTAAATTTTACTCTGCCACTACCTAGCAGATTCAGTTATTAATCAGTTCCCCAAGGTATTGCAGAGACACTTCAGGAAAAAAAAGGGATTTTTTCTATTAAATCACATATATGTGGCATCAGAAGAGTCAGCACAGGGCCTTTTGTTTAACGTCTTCTCCATTCCAGAAAGAAAATGAAGACTGTAGCTTTGAAGGTGGAAGACGAAATGCCAAATGCTGGCTTACCAGATGTCAGTCAGTTATCAACAGTTCGCAATGAATCTAATTACATCACCGATTTCGGGGGTCATACCAGTAATAACTCGGTTGAGATTCAGAATCCAACCTTTATTGTATTTGGCATATTTTTTTCCCTCAGCCTACTGAAACTAATCACCAAGATTAGGGCGGTATACATCACTCACTCACCTGAAACATCCCCTTAGAAAGAAGATAATGGCTTGCACATTGAGTCCTAGGTTTGTGTTGTCTCTAGGTCTAGAGCCTTGACAATCAGTAAAAAACCCCTTGACTTTGCACAAAAAATGATATTTACTAGAAGTAAATCTTTTTCTCTGACAGGCTACCCAAGCAACAAAGCCACTGGACGCTTTGAGCTAACTGTGTCATTGGAATCATGATGGCCCACAGATGCAGGAGACAAAGCTTATACAGGGGCTTGTGTATTTGTGTCCACCAGCTTGTTTCTTTCTTGTTTCTTTTTTTCAGCTATATTTTGCTTAATAAAAAGTATCAGTTTTCCTCCTACACTGTTTAATTTGCTGCTTTGACGTATGTTAAACCAGGAGAAGTTAGTTTATTTGCATTTTACAGATGGTTGGAAAGAGATTTTTTGAGAAACTTCACTTTACAGGAACAATAAACACCAAAAATCTTCTCTAAGCCGTTATGTCGAAATATGATTTTAAAAAACGCTTTCACCAATAATGTGCAATAATGTTTCATAATTATTTGAGAACTAGAAAGGGTAGTTACCGCAGCTCCTAATACCTATGTGTGATTTGGCTCTGCTATGAACTGACACTGCTAACGATCAGCTCAGAACACATACACAAAAAAAAAAATAACGATGCTATCTAAATTTCTTGTCAAGAGGTGGTCTTAATAAAAGTATTCTAAAGTAAAATTTATTGTGCAATTTCTCTGAATCACAGCTTCAGAAAATGAACAATAGCGAGGTGCTAGATTTCTGGAGGAGGTATGTTAAAACTGAGCTGAAGTTCAGGAAAATAAGAGCAATGTATCTATTTCTTACCATTTAAATGTCTGATATATTAATGCTAAGGATGATTACAGCCATTAAACACGGATCAATGTCTACGTTTTAGCCATCTAATTGTACCAGACATGCACAACAATTACAAGAAAAATGCTGATTGATTATGTTGTAGAGTTATCAGCAGATGCATTTCAAAGTAAGGCATCAGTTTAAAAATATGAGTATCAAGGAGACGTGAATTCCATCTATGAAGCAAACAATTTTGTTTCATCACAATAAGCATCATTGACCTTGACTGTGAATGGTATATTTTTAAACTAGCAGTAGGAAGATGATTCAATCTCTGCAGTTTTCTGCTAAGATGAAAATGTTTTGTTTTAAGCAAGCCTTATTCAAAGGCATTTTTCTCTTCAGCAAGTAGCCATTATGAGAGATGAGAGACAAATATATGAATATGATGGATTAAAAAGTTTTATATGTGATAAAATAAGCAATATATATTAGAGATTTGCTAAGATATTTTAAATATATCATTGAGCCTGTGGAATTAAAGATGAAAAAGACCTGGTAGCTGATCTAATCCATCTCTCTGCTCACTGCAGAAACATTTCCTAATGTTACATCTTCCAGTTCTCTCTTTAGTCCAATCTTAAACAGATTTACCACATTTGACATACTCTAAATGTTCCTGTGTTGAGATAAATTTGTCCCAGTTCCTCTATCTGAACTATTCTAAACAATTTCTCCTCTCCTTTAGTGTGTGTCCTGTATATACGTGTGCAATGAATTTATATTCCTACATAGATTTAATGGACATTTGTTTCCTTACAATTTAGGTTTCCAACAGGTGTCATTCTTGTTTGGGTTTTATGATTTATTTATTTTTTCAAAATCCTTGACACGTTTCTTTTGGAATTTTCAAATAACTTATTTTTCAAGTTTAGGCAACTCTTGAGACCATTTTTAAAGAGAATAAATAAGTAAAAACATTAAGAAAATGCAATAGAATGCAGTAATTTTTGACACCCTTCCCCAACTTTAAAGCCTGGTTTACAAAAAAAAAATGCTTTTGCAGTCACTCTGCTCAACTTTAATTTCTGCTCCTTGCTCCATTTTTAGGAGCTTTTTAATCCACTCCATTTTAATGTTATCTAGCTTTTAATGTAACTGATTTAACCAGAATTTGACAGAGGTGCAAAGGTCTAAAAGCCAGCAAGTTCCTGTGAATCAGCAGGCACAGTATGGGGCTGGGGCCACATGCCATCCAAGAAACTGCCTGTGACAGTATAAACTGAAGCAAGGCATTGCGTCTTGTGCTGGCTTGCCCCGCAGCCCCCAACAGCCCCCACCCACCAGCAACCGGCACCCGCGTTGTGGCCACCCAGTCGGGGCACAGGCACCTCTACACTCATGACCACCAGATAAAACGGCCCTGACAAGGAATTTAAGCAGTATTGATGCAAACCGTTTCTAAAACAAGGGTTTGCAGGTTTGCAGGTTATTAAACCTGCAAAAAGGTTTAGTAAAAATTACTTCAAACTGGATTTACATTAATTCAATTTAATTTACACAGCTTCTGGTACATGGATACTCCAGATCTCTATTAGATGCATTATTGGAAGTAGTTCAGCTACAGAACTCACATTGGCAACGTTTTACACCCTGCTTTTAGTATACACGTCATTAGGCATGAATGTCCTTAGCCTTCAAAAAATCCAGCGATCTGACTGCAATGCTATCTGTAAAACCTTCATTTTTCATGTAATAATAGGCAAGGTAAAGATTCAAAATAAATGCATGAAATCAACACATGTGCTTCTAATACTACTCCTGTAATTCCTGTTTGGGATAAAAGTGACTTATGAAACATTTTGTTTATGTAAGGTCTTAGTTCAGTGAACACATATTCAGAAATAGCTTACCGGGTTTTGTTCATCAAGTCTGCTCCACGTGCTTTGTAATAATCTAGATTTTGTTGGAATTGGTGAGTCACTGGTCTTGGATTTCTCTAAAAAAAAAAAAAGAAAGAATATATATTTTTTTAAAAAGAATACCTTATGGGAATTTTCTGAGAGATTTAAAGCAGAGACAAGAAGTATGCTCATTATGAAGATTAGAAATTTAGAAATTTAAAGAATAATTTCTTTTCCCAGGATCTTGGTTTCTCAAGGCAATAATGCCAGTTACATAAAAGTGAAGTCTTAAAATACTTAAAATAACACCAAGTGTTACCACTAAGTCCACTCCATGCTCACAGAAATTAGTGTTCTTCCACACAGCGATGAGGCTGTTGGCTGTAGTGGTAACATTTCTAATTAAATCAATAATTCTTGGACAAGTTCAGATACCGATCTGATTTCTTCGTTTAGCTCAGGTATAGAATTTTACCACCTCCAAGCTAAAGTGATATGTTTTTAAAGAAAATGGTAATAGTAATGAAAAACTATAGGCAATGTTTTGAACTGAATGCATCACTAGCAGCATCTTGGTTAAGCAAAGAATTAAATTTAGAGACA